AATGTTTCCAAAAATGGAAAGAGATGGGTGGGGTGCCACTGTGTTTGATTTATTCCATGAGCAATATCTTAGCAAATAGAAAAGATAAGATGATCTTGTTTTATATTCTAGCTTGTCAATATCGGTAATCTGATTCATACTTAGTGTAGACTTAGTGTTTTGGCTTCACAAACATCTAATTTGAACCAGTGCTGCATTCAACATACAACGTGACACACAAAAATCGATGTTTATCTGAGTTTTTTTTAATAATTACTTTTAAATTAAGAAATTGAGTAATTTATAGTACTAAAATTTGAATTATAATCTACAGTTTAATACCAAACTTACTGACATGAATGCAAGTCAACATATGAGATCACATGGCCTTTCACTTGTGACTCGTCTCAAAAGGGTTAAATGATAAAAAGTTGGATTATTAGCCTTAGCAAATGCTTCTATCTTCAGAAAACTCAAAATTAATTATTCTTTGATTATAGTATGACAAAATTTCAATGTTTATTATAACACTTCAAGAAAGCTTTAAAAATATGGGAAATTTGAACATTACTATCTTCTGCTTTTTAAATGTGGCATTAAGATGTGTTTTAACATTGTGAAAAATAGTTTTTAAATTTAATTCTTCTACTGTTTACAGTTTAAGTGGAACATTCCCTTTCAATGAAGATGAAGATATCAATGATCAAATACAAAATGCCACTTTCATGTATCCACCTAATCCTTGGAAGGAGATTTCCCCAGAAGGTACTACTGATACCATTACCTGTCTCAGAAGGTCATATTAGCCATTTTTACATTTATTAATTATTTGCTTGGATTTTTAATCCTTCTACCATGTGTTTAAGGTCTTGATTGAATGTTATAGAATTATAATGCAAGTAAAATGTAAATTTCAAAATGTTTTCCCATGTCATTTTGACAAGGTAAAAGAGAAACAGAGAAAACAATTATAAAATACAATCCATTCATTACTCAAAGAAAATAAAACAGAAACTTAGGGATAATAGTTGTTTGAGTGATTAGTAAATAATTATTATATTAGGTTGTATGTAATTTTATGAACATTTTATAACTTATCTGTGCCTTTTAAATTTCACTTTCCACTTAAGCTATTGACTTGATCCACAACTTACTTCAAGTGAAGACCCGAAAGAGATACACTGTGGACAAATCTCTCTTTCACACCTGGCTACAGGTAAGAGTATGTTTGAGACCTGGAAGTTTTTAAGACCATGAAATTCTTGTAACGTAATGGTTTTCTCTGTAAAAGTGGCCTGCATAATACCTGAAATTTGATAGAGCTTTCACTCATAAGTTCTTAGAATTATATGAGATTTACTCTAACACTGAATAATAAAAATATTTGTTACAAAAATTGAATAGCCCAACGAGCTACAAATTGAGGAATAAATCCTTTTTCTTTGTACATTTACCAATAGATGGTAAACTGCCTATGTATTATATGTAAGAACAACTTTTCACAGTGCATTGAGTTAATGATCCTCTTCACATCCTTGAACTGTTGTGTTTATATTAATAACTAAAAAGATATTAATAATGGGTACAATATTACAAAACTCTAGTTGGAATTTTGGAATAAAGACACAGTGACTCAACCTCTTCCTTTAACGCTTTTGCATTGGGTAGGTTAAAGTGTACATATCACAAACTTTTACAGAGTTACATTCAAAATTTAATTAAACTAGTTTATTATCAACATACATGAAGAAACTTGCCATCAAAATGTAGTTAATAAATCAAATTTTAATATTATATAAGTTTTAAGTTCAAAATTTTACAAGGAAATACTTAAACAATTCTCAGTCTTCCCTAGTTTGAGAACTAACATTTGCTCTCTAGGTCTTCCCTCTTTGATTTATTTACAACCCCTCCGAGAAGTATGGAATTTAGAGTAAATTACTTATTATAACATTGATATTAATCAAACAAAGCATAATTTTTATAACTTTAAATCTTATTTGTTTATGATGTCATAAGCTAGAAAATCAGATCCACTTGCCATGCCCACCTGTCACATTCTCTCTTTCACAAACTACCAGTGGTTCTGTCTGACGTTTAATACTATATTGTTTATAACCAATAGAAAGTCAAAGTTTTAATCTATAAAATCATTTATTACATTACATTGTTTTCTGTACAAAGAATTGTTTATTTCGCTTCCAGTTCAAACTTTATTTCCATGGGAAACACATCAGTGAGCTTAGCTGAATTTTAGTTCTTATTGTGTAGTTAGAAAGCCAGAAATATCATGGTAGTTATAGGACATTGTCTGCTTTTTACATGTTATTATTCTGTGTTCTTAGATGCATTATTTAATTAAATAAAAAAAAATAGTTAGTGTAGTACCATTAATATGAAAAAGTAGGCTTAAATTTAAGTGACTATCAACAACAAAATAAAAGAACACCCATGTGCATTCTTTATTTATTGTTATAAAAGTAACTAAAATTAGAAACTTCTTAGGTTAGATTAGGTAAGATAAATAAAAATAGTAGTAATTATAAAAATTGTTCATTATGTATGCCCACAAGCAGTTCATGCTTTATGTAATTCGAAGTAAACTAAAATTTTGGTGAGATTTAAAAGAATGAAGGTTATTCCAAAACTTGTACAAGTGAAATGTAATATTGAAAGACATAAAGAGGAGCATTGTGTGCAAAAAATCAAACATTACAATTCTACAGAAAAGAAGTGTCATACCCAAACTAGAAAAAAGGTGTATCAACTACATTTAGAAGCAGCAAAATCCATGAAAGCCTTGGACTGAATGGGAAAGGTATACTTGGAACCAGAAAATGAGAGATATTGATAAATATGAGTACGAATTACATCAGAAACATAAGAAATTGATAAATAAAAAGAAAGATGAAAACAATTAATTTGGATTACTTACCTACAAGTTATAAGATGTTCTTGGAGAATCCTAAAAGATGTAGTTCTTAATAATAATTAGCTGGAGGCATTAAATAAAAGTTTAGAGTTTGCCTATAAACTGTCAAGCATTAAAAAAGAAGAATGATTAATAGATATAGAAACCAATTTGGATAAAGTGATAGATGTGCACTATAAAAATATAATTAGAACTGAATGTCATAAACTTGTAGGGAATTTCAATCCTGTGGGGAGGAAACAAATATAGATATAAAAACTGTAAAATCATTAAGAAATAATGCAGATATTGTTATTTGTAAAGCAGATAAAGGAAGGCAACTTGTAATGTTTAATACATGTGACTATGTTAAAGGTATGTGAGACATTAATTGAGGGTGTATATGAAACATAATTATAACCCTACAAGTAAATATCACAAAATTAGTAAAAAGAAGTGTTAAAAACTTTAACAGATGCAGAAAAAATAGATTAATTCCAAATAATTTTATTTCTTAAAGATATTATGTACTTTCAAAAACACATTGAATTAACAACAGTTTTAGACCAATAGTATTGACTATAGGTACATCATCATATCAAAAAACTAAATATGTATCTCAGTATTACTGTTTGAGAAATAGAAACAAATGTAGAGTTAAAAATGCTTTAGAATTTGTAAAAAAAATGTAAAGTTGAATATGGAAGATTTGTTAGTGTTGTTATTTACAAAGTTCCAGTAGAAGATGCAATTAAGTGTTTCAAAAATACATTGTTACTAAATAAACAATAATAATTAATCTAACAAATATGTGTGTAAAGAATTCATTTTTTCAGGCTAACAATATTTTTTATAAACAAAATGAAGCAAGACATTATGTGACTTGTATATGAATGCATTTGAAACAAAAGCCATAAATGGTGCAAAATGCAAACCTTATATTTGGATAGGATATGTAGATGATACATCCTTGGCGTGAAGATATGGTAATAAGGCATTAACAGAGTTTGCATGCTATTTGAATGAAACTGAGAAAAATAACAGTTTACTTTTTTTTAATGTATTGGTAAAAATGGAATGAATATGGGAATTTTGAAACATTTACTTATCATAAACGTTTTTCTGTGCTTATGGCACCACATCAGGAATCATGTTATGTTGAAACACAAAAAATGTCTACGTTTTACACTTATGTTCGAAGAATTTTGAAGATATGTAGAAAACAAGAGGACTTAAAAAATAAATTGATACTAATGAAGTATATAGCAGGTGAAAGAGTATTTAACCCAGCTATTGCAGATAGAACAGTTAAGAAATTCAATAATGTCGTAATAATGGATCAAGGTATTACCTTCAAACCCGGTTATGATAAAAATTAAAAAGGAATGTTTAGTGTTGCCATATATTCCAGGTTTAACTACTAGTTTATTTAGTGTTTAAAAAACAACAAATATTTTATCCCATATTTAAACCAGTAAATAAGATAAAACAAGTTTTAGATATCACTAGACATAATGTACAGTTAATTGAAAAAGCTGAATTTATAATATTGTTTAGCAGAACATAAGGGATGTGTAAGATGTGAAAGGATTGAAATTTTGGCTATAGCTGAACATGTACAAAAAAACACAACATAAGACATTAGGGGAAAAACAGTAATATTGGTTTAACTAAAGGGTATTCGAATCAATAATATCCATGAACTATTAAATGGTGACAAAGGTCCAGGGAATATCTGTGTAAAAAGGAAATGGGACCTCCCCTAAGAATTATACAAAAATAGTAAAACTACACACACGTTCCATGACCTAGTTAAGAAAGTATAAATATGACACTATTATGTCTTGGAAAATTTACTTCTGATGATGATGTAGGAAATATTGAAACATATAGAGTCAACATTTTAGAAGCCATACATTGGCCTGAATTAAACGTTTTAAATTTTGTATCTATTTTAATGTTATATATTTATTATTTTAAGATTAATTGTATCAAGCTATACAGGGCTGGTTTAGCCATTTAGCTACGATGAGTGATAAAATGGTCTCAAATTTCGATATTTTTCAACTATTTAGGTTAAAAAGTGCATTTTTAGGGTATTTGACGCTATAAAACATTGTTAATTAGGCCCCGACATGTTTAAGATTGATACCTTTTGCTAGGCCTAAAAAGCCTAATTTCTTCTCCAACTTTGGTATTCTACATAACTGAACTAAAATTCATGCTACTGGTATTTGTAGGCCTTAAAGTTTATTATTATATTACAAATTTCTTTTCTTTTCACCAAAGATAAAGTTTAATAGGTGAGGTAAATGTGTAATCTATTCTATAATAATATTATAAGAGAAATATCCATTTGCAAATACCTACACCCAAACAGTGTTCTTTTATTTTTCAAATTGACAGTAAGTTTTTACACAAACATACACAATTAGAATACGACAATGAGAATAGGTTTAATTTGCATTTGAGGTTAACTTTCAATTTGTCATTATTTTAACATGTTAAAAAGGTCTTTGTGTTAATGTTTTTAATTATGTAACTTTATGCAAGTAATGAAGGTATAAAATGTCACAAACACACATGTGGGTAATAACAAAATATGCTCAAAAAATTTTTTTTTGTGAAATACTAGAAAAAGGATAAACAAGTTTGTGTATATATTCATATTATAATTAATTTTTAGAAAATATATTAATAAAATAATTATTTAAAACAAATTTTCAGATGCAAAATAAATAAGCATTTACCATTATTTGACAAGCATTCAACTAACTCCAAATATTTCGTTGTATTTCAAATGAAAATGAAACATTAAATCTAGATTCAGATAATCTGAGACTGAAACAGTATTGAAAATTAAGATTTTGTTATAGCTATGTCTATTAAATCTTGTTTTATAGTAGTATTGTTATAGTTGATAGAAAATATAATAAAGTATGAATGTCCTACATATTTAACTTGAAATAGGAAAACAATGAACCTTTAAAAATTAACTTTGAAACTAGTTTTTTAATAGTCACTGTGTTATGGAGCTAGTTACATTAAAAAGGTTTGTTCAACTAGAAACTGTTATGTTAAAATGAAACCACCACTTAGTGTTATATTCAAGTATTAATATGAAGTATTGAGTAAATTTTTCAATCTAACTTAGTCTTACATTATAATTCATAATTCAGGATTATCAGCTATGGTGTGATCTGCGGGAGCTGGAATCTCATGTTGGAGTCAGATACTTAACTCATGAATCAGATGATGCTCGCTGGGAAGCATATCGCCTAGAACGTAACCTCCCTCCACCTCGTGCCTTAACAACCAAGAATTATAGTGCTGAATCATCCTCAGAGTTACTGCTCACTGAACTTTTAAAGGTTACAGAATAAATTTCTAAAGTTTGTGTATGGTTATTATTTTTTCACATAATAAGGTTTGCATTGGACTTTAATAATCTTTGTAAGTTTGAAATATAACCTTTTTTAACAGTTTCACCAGATAAAAGCTATATTTCTTAATTAACACTGTTTTTAAGTATGTCTCTAGGCAAATAACAAGGAATAGAAGTTTTGTGTTTGTTACATTTGCACTTAAGTTTCATGGATAGTGAGATATATACAATTTTCGAAGTTGTTATTCATGTTAAATTAACCCTCTTGCTACGGGCTCTGACAATGTGACCGAGTTTGTAACCACAAAGTAATCATTACAGTTTTCATACCAAACCTTTTAATAGGGTTACATGTATCTTCACAATTTGGCAAGCTTTCAGTAAATATTCAGTTTTTTATTTAAGTATTTTTACTAAAAATTTGTCCACGAATATATGGAGTCAGAATGTTGAACACTCTGAGACCAAAGTGATTTCATGTTAAAATTGAAAATAATTTGTCTAAAAAATGTCAAGTTCCATTTGTGTAATCTCTGAAAGCTCCTAAATAAATATCAAACATTTTTTTGTTGTAAAACTTTATATTTTATCTGTTATTTTCTTTACCATAACTCTCTACACATTTGATCAATTTGACCAACCTTACAACCACCACAAAAAATACAAAATATATCTAAATTCCTCTCTCTTCTTTCTAGAACGACTGCAAATTGTAACATAAACTACAATTGTTTATCCCAAATAGCATAAGGCTCTTAACAGTATACATCTGTTTATACTTATTTTATTGTCCTTTGACATGTGTCTAACTAATAATCCTGCAATACATGTTGTAAATCATTCGACCAACTCGTAGATCACATTGCCACATTGAGTGATGTAATGCATGAGCATGAATTACACAACCCATGAGCTGCTGGTGAGCATACCTCGTGAAATTTTTATTATTAATTTTCATTATCTTACCTAATCCAACCTATTAAGTAAATAATGTCCTATAACTATCATAATTTATCTGCCTTTCTAACTATGGTGTAAGAGCCTTTAAAAATTTAACTTAGCTTGCTGATTTGAACACTGAGAAACTCAAACTGAAGATGAAACAGACAATACTCTGTACAGAAAACAATGTAATATAATATGTCGTTTGATAGATTAATACTTTGGCTTTCTGTTGGTTATAAATAACATAGCATAAAATATCAGACAGAACTACTGACAATTTGTGAACGAGAGGATGTGATAGGTGGGTGTGGCAAGTGGGTCTTATTTTCTAGTTTATGACTCCGTAAACAAATAAGATTGAAGGCTATAAAAATTATGCTTTGTCTTAATAATATCTGTATTATAATGAGTAACTTATGTTAAACTCTGTGCTTCTCAGAGGGGGTAAATTAATTAGAGAAGAGGGAATCACTAGGGATCAAATGTCACAATTCTCACACTAGGGGAGATTGAAGATTTTTTAAAATATTTCCTTATAAAATTAAAACTTGTATTAAAATTTGATTTATTAACTACGTTTTGATGCCAAGTTTAATCATATAGAATGATAGTAAAGTAGTTTATTTAAATTTTGAATGTAACTTTCAAAAATGTCATGACATTCACACTTTGACCTGCCCATAGTGAGAGGGTTAAAGTATAGTGAAAACTTTGTTTGCAGCTGTTTTTGTTACTTATATAAATGTATATTGTTCTTATTTTATGTGGACTACATTTCATAGTAATTGATATTGGTGATATACTCTTTCTAATTTTGTATTTTATTTTGGTTCTATATTCCTGGACACAAAACAGTCTTGGTAAATTATAATACAATACTGTATTATGACTGTCTATTTTCATAAAATCTCTACCATCTTTACTTTTGTAATTCAATTTTTTTTTTAAAGGAAGATTTCAAGACTTACGATTTTAATGCTAAAAGATAGTGAAGCCTGAAATTTGTGATAAAAATAACTTGTGACAGATAAAAGTTAGATCTGAAATGCTGTTTTTACATGCCTCGTTTTTTTTTGTCGAAAACACACAAGTTAAGAGGAATGTGAGAAAAAACATCTGCAGCTTATGCAATTTCTGTTACATATTTTAGTTCTAAGTGTATATTTTACTCAGAATATGTTTACTTTTTCTGCAACTATATCTTGTGAACCACATTTAATTTGTTGTTTGAAGCCATGGTTTAACCTTTTCTGTGATTTGCCCGAGACATCTCAGCACTTTCCATGTTTCAGAAAATAGTTACCCAAGTTAATTTGGGCAAACCATTTTTTGCTGTATTTTTAATTATTTGCATGTTATCATGTGTTACAATTAGTGCTCAGTAGCTGGCATTGGAAAGGCTGTTTATGCTGATCTCTGTTAAATATATTCTAAATTATGTATCATAAATACTGGGGAAAAGAATTCCTATTCTTTACTGTAGGTTCATTTAAATAATATATATATATATATATAATGTATAAGTTCAAGTAAGATTTATATATCAAGGATATTTTGTGCAGAAATATAACATCATAAAATAAATTTTGTTCATTAATATATAAGTATAAGCTATCAAAAAGTGAAATAAAAAAAACAGATTTTTTTTTTTAGCTCATTTCCAAAAACAGCCTAACATGAAAGGGTTTAAAGAAATGTCCAAAGGTTCGCTTATAACATCAGTGACCTCCAAGTAATGTGAACCAGTGGTGGGCATTTCTATGGTACCTCAAGTGATATAATCTACTTAATATCAAATCTCACTTTTTTGTTTACAGTTCAGTTTTACGTACATTTGAATGTTTGTAGACCAGATTGACCAGTAATATGACAGTTTTCTTCATTTTGAACATGTATGTAATAAAACATCTGTTTTCCAGTTTTGTTTTTGCTAACGTTTAGAGATACAGCTTTAGAAAATGATTTTTGTTCAGTTTAGTTCTCATTTATAGTGTGAGAAGGTATAATCAGGTTGAAAGTTATATATAATTAGTGGTTGTTCATCTGAGTTTTGTTTTCTTTGAAATGTGTTCTTCCATAGTTTTGTTGAAAGTTTTAAAGTGGAAGAGTATAATTTTTAAACCTGTTTGTGAGGTGTATACCTAGGAGTATTCAGGCTGTTTGGATTACACATGTGCAAAAACTAAGATTGAGAAGTACTTTCAGTGTCCATAAAAACATGTATGTTACATTTTTGGTGTATCCCAAAAAATTATTTTTTGGATAAGCCCTTAAATATAGAATTTCATGATTGTTATTTTTGTTTAGCTTATCCGATATATTTCTAACAACTGACATGTAGTTAATAATTAGTTCTTCAGAATACTAATACATGAATTACGAGCTCATTTTGTTAATTAAAGGAATTTCAGTTCTAAATTTTCAATTCAAAATGCTCTCCAGCGGCATTCCTGTGGACTTGTACCACTAGAAACCAGGTTTTGATACCTGTGATGGGCAAAGCACAGATAGCCTCTTGTGTAGCTTTGTGCTTAATAAAAAAACAACAACCATTCATAAATTTAATGCTTAGTTTAGTATTCTGCTGATGCAATGTAGATGTACCTATTGAGATTTCATTTTTATTTTAGAATGCTGTATATTTTTCATTTTAGGTTTACAGATTATTTACAGTGTATTTAGGTTAATGTCAGTTATTCATACATGAAATTCTTATTTAACGAAAAGTATAATTTTGAGTTAAAAAGCATTATTAGGATTGAACTTATCATGAAAGTAATATTTGCTGCTATTACTGTGTAGTATTATATAAGTTTTGAAATATTATATTTGTATCTTTGCAGGAATAATTTACAGTTTTTATTTTTTCATGGGTTTATATCTGTTATTGAAATAACCTTTGCTTTTGTACAGTGTAAGGTTACTGGTTTATATTGGTAATGTCCCCTGGTGGGACAATGGTAAATCTACAGATATACATCACTAAAATCAGGTGTTTAATTACCCCTCGGTGGACACGGCAGATAGCTCAATGTGGCTTTGCTATAAAAAACACACATACTTATATTGGTATTATTTTATAATTTTCTTTTTTATTGAAAGAATTAACTGTATATACATGGACATGCTTAGTTTGAAATAATGTTATTTTTTATAATCAGATAGTATGTTTTATTTTTGTTGCCATTTCATAATCTACATTATCATTTACTGGTTGATATAATTCTATTTGAAGTCAGTGTTACTTTTTCAGGTGTTTTTTAAATTACTTTGACTGAGTAGGATATTGTTTGGTAAGTAGAGTCTGTGATTTTCTTACAACTCTTGGTATTTCTTACCTACGGTACTCAAATTTGGTATGTGGTATTAAACAGATTTAATGACAACTCAAGATAACAGCCTTTTTACCTGAAGCTACATTACGGTGTTTTGCAGTATTGGCAAATAACTTATTATTCAAGTGTTGCACTAAAAGCTTAACAGAAGTGTTAGACTACCTATATTATGTTTTGCTTGCAACAAAATATATATATATATATTTTTTAATGTTTGACACTTTGATTGTTTATTTATTAGTAGATAATTGAAAAATTGAGTGAATTAGTGATGTTATGATAATGATGTAATCATCCATTGAAACTTGCAAACAACTTAAAGAATTGTTTAATTTCTTTAGTTTTGAATATATATAATTTCATTAAATATAACATGAAAGGCATTGTTTTGTATGTCTGTGATTAATGTTTCTCAACAGTTACTTTGAGATCTTACAACTTATCATTTATCATTAAGAGAAAACAAGACATTGTTTTGTATATCTGTGATGAATCTGTTTTTCAATAGTTTGTGATATGAGAACTGATGGTAGCTGATAATTTGTCATTAACCTTTTCACGTCGACCTACTTACCGTGTAACTCTCTCAAATTTTATTTCAAAAATAAAACCAGTGGATGAAATTGTTTGAAACTTGAGAGGTACTTTCCTAAAAGCACGTAGTTTCATAAAAATATTTTATTTTTATTTTTTTCTACCAGAAAAT